GTTGAGGTCAACACCTTGTGGAGCCGCAGCCCGGTGGTGAATGCCGGGCCCGGACCGGGCCGGCGCGTCACTGGCTGCGGCTTGGGGCTGCTCGGCGCGCGGTCCGCCGCCTTGAAGCCGAGGCCGCTGCGCGGCGGCGGAAACGGCGCCGGCGTGGCGGGTGGCGCGGGCCGCGCGCGGTCCAACGTCGGCCGCGTGGACGACAGCACGTGTGTCACCAGCTGGCCGTTGTGGTCGAGACTCTGCACGACGTGCGCGCCACGCTTACCGTTCTCCGCGTCAGCGCCGAGCACCGGCCGCAGCCCGCCCAGGATGCGCAGAGATGGCGCCGGCGTCGGCCGCGCAGTCGGCGCAGGGGGAGCCACCGTCACTGGCCGGGGAAACCGCACGACGCCGCCAGGCCCGTCCACGACGCCGTTCTCCAGCTCGCTCGGCTCGTCGGCGAAGCGCACAAACTGCCGCCGTTGCGGCGAGCGCTGGCCGTCCGCGGACAGCGGCGAGGCAAACAGGCGGCTCGGCGGGAACTCGACGAACTCGACGCCCGGAAACAGCGCTTCGCCCGGCCGCCGCGAGGTGTCGCCGCCGTCACCGAGCGCTTCGGCCGGCCGCCGCGAGGTGTCGTCAGTGGCGTTTTTGAATGGCGGGAAGAGCGGCAGGCGGCGCGCGGCGTCCGGCCGCCGCCGACTTCGCTCTGTGGTGGGGTCAATCGGCAGCGGTTTGCCGCCAAGGATGGTCTGCAGTTCCTGGAGCATGGCGACCTGCTCTCGCGTCAACGGCGGTCGCGTGGTCGAGTGTGGCCGAGGCCGCGGGGTCGTCGTCGACGTCGTCGTCGGCGCGAAGCCGCCGTCATTGGTGGGATCGCGCGCGTCCGAGAGCAGGTGCTGGAAGTTGCGCACGCCGTCCAGCCCCTGGCGCAGCGCAGTGCTCGGGGCGCCGCTTGCCGGAACGACCAAATCCGGCCCTGGAACTGGACCGGGGGTCAGACTGGGGTCCGGCTGGGGTTAGGTTAGGGGGTCGGGCTGAGGTTAGGTTAGGCCGGGTTCAGATCGGAGCCAGGATAGGGTCAGACTGGGGTTAGGCTGGGGTCGGGACTTCTGAAAGGCTATACTGCGTTGGAAATTAAAATGGGATAAAGCCGGATGAACGAGTGGATAAGTGTTGAGACAAGCGGCAGATACGTGGACAGATGGCGGCGTATGACACAGGTATACGTGACCAAAAACATGACATGATCCCACAAACACACTGGACCCGACGTGCTTCAAACAATATGGATGATATTTCCGTAAGGTCTTACATTTCCTAGCGGACCCCAGTGAATGTGTGACCCCAGTGAGTGCAGTGAAGCGCCTCAGGTGAGAGCACAGGAATCGTGCCCCGGTTGGTATCCAACAAAGATGCATGTACGTTCATGGCGCATCCGATTCATGCTTGCTAAGTCGAGGGGCTACATGGTCTTAGGTGCTGCATAGTTTAGATTCCATGTGCTCGCAAAAATGTCCCCCATGCGTGCAGGTTCATCGCAGCTGTCGCCGTTTAGCGATGACTTTTGTAAAGCACACCGTTGGCTTCAAACGCCACTGTGCCATTTCCTGTCCGTGGGGCTCACAAACGAGAAAGAAGCGCACCTGGCGGCGGCGGGACAAAGCCGTTGGCGGGTCGTCCGACGCGGCACGCCTCCCCGCAGGAAGCGGGGGCCGCCGTTCTTGCGCGGCGGACGGCGCAGCGGCCGGCGAGGCCTCCTCTGAGCGTCGGTGCCGCAGCTGAGCAGCACCACCAGCAGCGCCACCTAGGACAAGACAGAGACGAGGTTAATTTGAGTTCTTGAGGTTTTAACTGCTGCTCTGCACGCTCTTAAAATACTCGGCGGGGATCAGTGGTTCGAAGAGGATTGTGCTTGCGATTGTGCTTGTGATTGTGATTGTGATTGTGAGTGATCGTTGTGATTCCACAATGAACCGAGATTCGGTGGTCAGGGTAGGTCCCTCCAGGCGAACTACGAAAGGTAATAAACCGTCATTCAAAAAAAAATTCAAAATTATTGCGAGAATGGCCTCACTCCTCCGCAGAGCACAGCGTGGTGAACGGCCACAGATTCCGTACTCTACCGAACCGAACCGAGGCGAGCAACAGGCGAAAGGGCTAACTTAACGGTCACGGTGGGTGCAAGGCAGGGCGGCGGAATAGAAATGACGTTTACAATGGCGAAAGTGAGAGGGGCGTATCAGGGAGTGGTGAAGGTGCGATTTCCCCCGACGCATGTCAGCTTTGTCAAGTTTACCGGACACACACAGTCGCCGTCACCGTGTTGTTACCAAACATAGTGTCAAGCCCGTGTTGTCCTTTCGGACAGTTCATTGCCAGACAAGTGCACTGATGCTGCGCGTATGATGGCATTCTTTCCGTATTTCATTGGATTTTTTCGGTTCGTAGATTCTGTGTGATGACCGAAGGCCTTCCACGTAGCATCACCAATCAGACTTTGTGTTCCGCACTATTTCACTAACCTGGCCTGCTGTTGCCTATTATTATGTATATATACATATATATATATATATATATATATATATATATATATATATATATATATATATGTGTGTGTGTGTGTGTGTGTGTGTGTGTGTGTGTGTGTGTGTATGTGCAGGCCTTTGCATTACATAATATTGTTCCTCGTGGAACCGATTTTCTAGATCAAGCTCAATGCATCCCCCTTTTTTAATTCAACCCGCAGGTTTTTGTCTTAGAAAAAACAGCATGGTCATTAATGAAACGCAGGCCAATTCGATGCCGGCGTAACATAGAATTACAAACGTGGTGTATAGCTATGTCCACACCTGGTACTTCCTAAGCTTGCATTGACATCTGTCCATTTTGTGCAATGTCGATTGTGTATTGTCATTGACTGTTCACTGCACTCCACATTGCCTTGGTTGTAATCCACTATCTTTCCAACCATGCTCGTCGCCAACACTCGGGGTTCCCATAATTCAGTCTATCCAATCCATGAACCGATCATAAAAGCACGAGTGCATCCACCTTGTCGGTCTTTCCCCTCCTCTTCCCCATCTCCTTTCCCAGCTCACCTCACTGCCCCATTTCTCCACCTGCACTGGTAACTAACTCTCACTTGATTTTCGCAAGAGCGTCCCCGCTCCACCCCCATCTCCGTCTGTCAGATCAGTAAAAGCGCGCGACTCAGAGCACAGCAATTATCAAACTCCCGGCTGGTCAGAGTGCGTGGGTGACTGACAAGCAGTGGACGGCCCCAAGCACGCACGACAGTCTCACGTATAGCTCTGGCTGTCCGGCGCTTCAGCCACACAGCCTGCTGGCCCAGCCACGCCTCAGCCGGACGAGGTCGGAATATGAGAGGGCCTGAGATCTTCCCCTTTCGCCCGCCATCGGTGGACACGCTTGAGGTCAGCTGTCCGTCAAAAAACACACATGTGCGCTTGTGCTGGACTCAAACGGAATATATTCCGAGTCCAGACTCGCCTCCGGTTTCAGGAGACTCGTATTCGCATTCGGTTCTATTTCTAGCTCAGCCGCATCGGATTCGGAATTGTAAATTGGTGTCAAAAAAGATTCGATTACGCTTTAAAAGATTACAATATAACTCAGATTCGATTCCCATCTTTAATAATCGCTGCCAGCCAACTTGGAATTCGCTCAAGTCGCTTTAATTACGCTTTGAGGCCAATGTCATCCACGTGAAATCAGGCATAAGTCTAACATATTTGCCTCTCGTGCACGGGCACGTGAAATGCTGCGGTGCGAGCTCTGCCGCTACCGACCCACGTTCATTTCCGACTTTTCAAAGGGCAGCTGGCCGGATGGATCTCATGAATAGAATGACTGCATGACATTATCGGGCCCGAAAGCGCACGCGACCGCGCTTTAGCGGAAGCGGGGATTGAATGGCGGGGCTTTTCACGTGTCTCACACGTGCAGAGGCTGGGGCAGGTGGGCGTGTCACGTGTCTGCAAGACAAAGCAATTGCCGGTCGGTGTCAGTGCCCTGCGCTGGTTCTTGGCATTTGCTGACGGTGATTTACAAATAGCGAAGCCTGGTTGGCATTCAAAGGCCAGTGAGATCGGATTTCAGAAATCCATCCAATCAAACAGCTAAAGCTAGTCATAAAGAGATTAGCTGGATTACAAACGCATCAGGCAAAGGTTCCTAGGATAGCCCTTCATACTCCCGGTGCACTGAGGATATTTTTCTTGACCCGAATACCAGCTGGACGTCGCCTGCCAAAAGCTTGGATCAAGTGCAGATCGCCAATTCACGAAAGAACTGAGCCCTGACGGTGCACTGCTTTCTTACTCGGCGTCCTTGCGCACACCAAGACCGCTGTTTGTTACCGACCTGTGCAGAAAACCGACAGACAGCCAGAATGCTACCTGAATGTGGCGAGGACCCGGGACCTGCACAAAGGTCTTCTCCGTACTTATGTCGGAAGAACACTCAGAAACTGCTCGCCTTGGACTCCCCTAGATCTAAACTACAGGGAACTAGACGGTTGCTTCTCGATCATGGATAGAGCGATGCACAGTTCCACAAAGTACGTAACCTATGGCGACCAATCACCCAAACAGACATGACGAGTCCAACGGAAAATCAGACCATGACAGCGTCAGAATAAGGCTATAGTACAGAAATACCATGGCATTGGCATGGCAACAAGATAAACGGAAGCCATCGAGGAAACGCTTAACCAGCACTGCAAACCCTCAGAAAACAAACCAGGAATAACTTGACTTCCGCGTCCACCAAAAATCACACAGCTTCTTTTGCCATCAGGAATAATTCAAATTGTGGCACAAGCCAGGGGAAACAAGGCGATGTCGTGTAAAGAATCGGCTGTACGAGAACGGTGCAAACCGCCCAGTGAGCTACTTAAACCACACGACTACAACTTTGAGAGGCTGGCGGTGCACTTGAAAAACTGCGCCCCTAAAGATTGTTTACGGAGGCCCACTAACACGAGGCCTAGTGGTGTCCAGTACCGTTAATCTTGTCAGATACAGCAAAAAGGGAAGGCTGTGAGTGCTGGAGGCTGTGTTTATCAGGAACGCCGCTCCAATGATTAGTATGTGAATGTGCGTGATCGAAAGCCAGAGCATTTACGCCACATGACATGCTTCGAGTAACTTGCATCAACGTATAACTTTTCTTTTGCTGCCCGTATGTGTGTGTGTGCTTGCTCTTGCCTAGACTGTCCTGAAGATGCCTCTGAAAGTTCCCGCCATCTGTCATATATTCTTGATGTTTGCGTTGCCCACAGCAATAGATTGGCATCGGTCGATGAGCCTCGACATGACCAACGTGTTGATGGCTTATCCCAAGCTCTGGATGATCTAAAAGTCTGTCAGTTTCCTAACAAATCGAAAGGGGTGCCACACTTTTATCATGGACAGTCTCTGAGTCCCACGGTAGGATCGCTGTGTGGAGTGCACAAGTCTGGTTATAGTCACACTACTACCAATTCACATTTACTAATATCTACGTGGACTGGTGGTTCATGAGTTGGACCCGTTGCGTGGGACATACCGAATCACCGCGACCGTGAACAGCCTTTGAGGAGAATACTGCTTCCTATATCCTCGCGCCCGGCAAAGTTGTCCTGGCGCGCCACCAGGTGCGTCGCCGACGTTAGAGCAACAACCATGCCTGCCTGGTGCAGCCATGCAACTACACAACCCTCAACCACGCGCCATGTGCGATCCCACAGCCCACTCGCAGGCTCGCACCTTCTGATTGATAAAGAAGCCGAATTGCTTGCCCAGCACTGACCACGAGCGAAAAAAGTGTTATATTGTTAGAGGGTAGTTTGTAGTTCCCATTGTTATGAGCGCTTACTGGACCTGCGGACGAACGACTTGTGTCTTTGGGAGCGCTGTTATTGTCACGCACACACACATACACTAAAGACAGCAAAGAAGTAAAGCCAAGCGAAGCAAAGACAGCAAAGAAGATGGTGTCGCGCTGCTGACGCGGCCGGCAACGATTCCATCTGACGTCACGCGGTGCAGAACATTCTCAATGCGCCACGAATACACCCGAAACGACATTTTCTTGGCCGGCGTCTCGGCCGCACGGAGACGACGGCTACTTCCACAGCCGGAGCTGGACTGCAGCTATTTCCATAGCTATCGGACCGAAGACGGATCAGCGACTGACGTAACTCTACAGGCTTCTGACGGGGACGGCGTGATGGAATACAGCGCTGCCAGCATGTTCGTCACTGCGGCACGCTCGTGGGCGATGGCGCCGGTGGCAAAGCGCGCGGGCATGCATGAAATATTGAAGGTAGATGGACGCGGACGAGATTTGTGGAAGCAATGCATTTGCATCAGATTTATCTAGTGATAAATGAATAAATCCCTTCTTGCTCACATGGAATTAAGGCGCAATTATCCACGTGGACATGTGGTTGACCCGTTCAGCAGCTAGCCTTAATGTAAATGCTTAATTTGCTAGTCGTTTCTCCCGGCCAGACCGTCCTTGTTTACTTATCTACCCGCTCAGGTAGATGCGTGCATCTGCCTGGATCCCGACGGCGCATCCTGGATCGCAGAGGTGCCCTTAACGACAGGGCTTCAATAGCAGAGTTTGAGGTTCCGGTTTAGAAACCTAGGCGCGCGTCTGTTCATAAATACGGATTGTATCGGGCTTCTCATGCAACAAGAGGCCATTCACAGCGGCACCAGTAATATGCTACGGATCATAAAACTCACGCCTCTCCCCTTCCCCTCCCCCG